ATCATCCCCAGGAACGGAATCGATGTTTTAATCTCAGATCAAGTTTCCTGATGAACTTCCAGAGATTTTCAGCCAGCATACTCAGATGACAACAGAATTCTCAGTTATTGCTTTATAATAATAATAATAATAATAATAATAATAATAATAATTCAATTTAAAGATATTTTATTAATCTCAGAGGGAAATTAGAGTTTCAGTACACACAATTGTGAGATCAGACATACATAGGCATAGACACATGACAAGAGTTGGGGACTGTGGTCATTCACAACCTGAGTCGCGCAACCTTAATAGATGTCAGAGGGTTTACAGGAGGATTGAGTCAGGTGGAGGAAAAAAAAGGCACTTCAGAGTTACCCTCCACCAGGAGGGCAGCTTTGCTATGCAAAAAACACCTCAGACAGAAATGCAACAGACTTCAGACATTACACAACATAAGTGTCCACCAGGTGGGGAGGTAGGGTTGGGACTCTCCACATGTCAGTGCATGCAGCCACGATAAGCAGCGCTCGTCACCTCCATTTGGACAGGGGAGGAAGGTATTTGGGTTAGAGAGCACAGCGACTCCTGGAAACGATTCAACGGCCTTCACCGGTCTCAGTCCTGCCCAGGCTGGGATAGGGAGACAGAGTTGCCATGGCAATGGCAGCATTCCACATTTCTTCTGAGGGGGGTGTATTCACTTCAGCCTCACAGGCTCAAGGGCACCAGATTCAGATAAGAACTTGTTTTGGGGCCAGACAGAGATAATTTCCTCTCTGTCTTAAAGTTCCATTGGTCCTCAACCTCTCTCAATCCAATAATGACGTAGATTAATCTATCCCAATCCGCACTGATCCATCAACTCTATCCTTTATGGCATCAACCTTCTGTGCCAGAGTCTGAATCTCAGCCAAAGTTCCAAGTTTCTGACTCATCTCGACAATTATATGAGTTTGTGCATTCACAGCGCGGTGTAATCCATCCCTGAGCTCCGGGATTGAGCCAATATTCTTCAACCTCGATAGCTCATTAATTTTCCGGTAAGCCAGGTAACCACTCAGGCCGAAAAGCAGAAAACCTGACACCAGAACCACGAATATCCAGGCCTCTTCAGAATCCTCCACAGACAGCTGAGAGAGGCAAATCAGGTTCCACTGTTTCCAGGAGTCCATGATATGCCCAGCTGGATCTGTCCCAGAGGGGCAACCAGGAGCCCCGTCTCCCATCCTCATCGTTGGAAAAATTTTGTCAATCGCGTTGAGAGACCAGCTGACCAGGTCCATTTTAATAATTTCCAGTTTCCAGAAAAAATGCAGAAGTGCCGTACACCCAAAGACAGACAAAGAGCCTTGGGATAAGATAGGGAGGAGAGGAGGAAAAAAAGTGTCTGTACTCTCCAAGAGCCAGTATAATAATAATAATAATAATAATAATAATAATAATAATAATAACAATAATAACAACAATTATTATTATTATTATTATTATTAGTAGTATTATTATTATTATTATTATTATTATTATTATTATTATTTTAGCAGAACTTGTCTGTGTTGTTTTCTTTCATTCCGCTGAAGTAAAAAGGCATAAAACTTAGATTTAAGTGAAAAGTTTTAAGTCACCGACTATTTTATGACTTTTCTGTATTTTTCCTGGAATAAAGGGACTGTTGCTCCAAAACTACCAGCAGGTGTCTCATGAATGTGCATGATATAAAAACTTTACTGCCACAACTGGGAGATGAACTCAGGCAAAACAGCATGCCAGTCAGCTACTCTAACCACTAGACTACCAAGTATAAATCAATGGTTGCTTAACATACATATCCAGTGGTGGCCATTATGTGTCTCTGTGGTCAGGACACATGGTTTCTATGGCGGTGTTTTGTGTCCAATGCATAAGTAATTTGTCAGAATATCCACTCTGGTAGCGGGGGAGCAGTCATCTGTGACATGAAGGTCACATTTTCAACTGCATCATGAAATCAAATGCTCTATTCCTGCAACTAGGAAAAAGTGGGCGTTACTGACCTACTTACAGAGGAGGCAGGTTTCAGATCAGAGACTAGCGTAGGAGCAGAGCCTGATGACGAACGTAGCTTCCATTGAGGCTTTTGCGGGGTTTTCAAAATTAAACTCAAAATTTGCAGTGGAAAATCACCCTGGCAGCAGCCAGATCTCTATGTCGCCACTCCTCGTGTCAAATCTACACATTTCGTTCAGGAACCTCTGCAGCAGAAACCATCATCTGAAAGAGGGAGGGCTATCTGGTAGAACATTTTGAGCTGATTGGAGGGCACGGAAGTCCTCTCCTGAGTTTGGAAAACTCCAAATCTCACAAGAGTTCATCTTGCAGCGCAAGGTTAGTGGAAAATGCGCGAATGCAGCAAAAACGGGTTTGGGGGTATTTTTCACGAGGAAATAACAATATATGGTAAAAAGCTCCCAAAAGTGATATTTTTATGATATGGCCCCTTTAAATAACAATGATTGTTTTTTCACTTTGGGGCGATGGTAGTACAGGAGCTAAGTGCTCTCCCCGTAATCGGAAGGTTGCGGGTTTGAGCCCCGCTCAGTCTGTCGCTGTTGTCGTGTCCTCGTCCTTAACCCACCTTGCCTGCTGGTGGTGTTTCAGACTCGCCTCTGTTAGTGCGCCCCAGGGCAGCTGTGGCTACAATGTAGCTCATCACCACCAGGATGTGAATGTGTGTGTGAATGACGATTGTGTTGTAAAGCACCTTAGGGGCTTCCATGACTTTAAAAGGTGCTATATCAAATACAGGCCATTTATTTCTAATATTTCAACCATTCTGAAAGATGTGCTGACATTGAAATAAGAAAAAAGCTTCATTATATTTAAATGTCATAGCTTCTTTTTTTCTTTCTTTCTCAGTTAAATTCCCTGTTTTAATGATTTGCAACTCATTCTATCCTTACTTGATTTAGAAAAAAATTCCAATTTGTCAATAAGGAAAATAACAAAGCTGCTATAAATATATAACGATTTAAATTTCCAGTGAGATATTTCTGCATGGAACCACAGATCTGATCACAGAAGTTTAAGTGTAGGCAAATAAAAATGAAACATTCATCGTCAGAACAGAAAAAAAAGCTCAATTTGTTGATTCTGATGAATCTAAGACGCTATTACATAAATAACTGACCAGTCGTGATCGTCTGTTAATCACATGTAACCACAGCAGGTATCTGGCCCTGTTACGGATCACCCAGTGTGAATGACACACACTTCCTATTTCTGGTTATCTTTTGTGCTGCTGGTAACTCAAAACAACCAAGAAATTGTGTAAAATCTGGGTGTTTCCATCTGACACCGGCACATTATAAAGGTCACATGAAAGATCGGAAAATCTGTGGGTTGTATTCATCTACTTTGACGTTTCTGACAGAAAAAAAAGATTGGAAGTTAAAACGGATGCTCTATCACACACAAAAAAGAAATATTAAAATCCAGTATCACATGTTCTTTTTTCTTTGGTGTCATCCCAGGATGTCCTCTACAGCACGTGTGGGTTTTGTCAACAGCGCTGTCGTGTTGGCTCTCTACCAGTCCTGGGACGTCAAACTCCCAGAAATATTTTCCGCACCAGTCTGTGCCATGCTGGAGGAACTTGGGCCTGCTTCCAGTTACAAAGCAGACATCTTTTTCTGAGGAGTTGACAATATTTACAGAGCAATACAGTCTATGCTGCCTTGCCTTGTTCATCGTCTACCAGGGGAGAAGATTATTTCACATCCCTGCAGGAGGCAGACTTTAAAGCTCTCATTTACCCTTTTTTAATACATTTGCAGTGATCGCTAGAATGAATGAAAGCCTTGTGAGTCATTGTCTGTGGCGAAAAGCTCTGGCGCTCCTGTTTCAGGAAGTAAAAGTTAGCGGTAGAAGAGGGGAGCAGAAAACTGCAGGATTCCTCATTATCATTGCCGACATTCGGAATGCCTTCTCCAGGTCGGGAATGAACTCTTGCCTCTAGAGGAGAAGTTTCTCAGGGTCTGATTCATGAACAAGTGAAAGATGGAGCGAGAGATCCAAAGCTGAATTGGTGTTGCGTCTGCATGCGGGGATTGGACCGGTCTGCTGTCGTGAAGAGAGAGTTGAGCCAGAAGGCAAGGATTTCAATTTCACAAGCTTTGTTGACCAGAGAACAAGATCACGAATACAAAATGAGTTTTCTCCGAAGGGTGTCTGGGCTCTCTCTTAGAGATGGGGTGAGAAGCTCAGCCCTCTGTGAGGGGCTCGGACTAGATCTGCTGCACCTCCATATCAAGAGCAGCCAGTTGAGGTGGCTCAGGTATCTGGTTAGGATGCCTCCTGGATGTCTCCCTGATGGAAGTTTTCCAGGCATGTCCAACTGGGAGGAGATCCAAGGGAAGTCCAGAGGGACTATTTTTCTCTGCTGGCCAGGGAAACCCTTGGAATTCCCCCAAAGGAGCTGGCCTAAGTGGATGGAGAGAGGGAAGTCTGGGCCTCACTTCTTAGGCTGCTGCCATTGCGACCTGACCTCGAACAAGAGGAGGAAAATTGATGGATATTCAGATATCTCGCCTCCAATTGGCTAACAGCTTTGGGACTCTTCCTCTGACTCCACTCACTCTGCAACGCTGATGTTTTATCTCCACTAATAACACAAACCTGAAGGAGTTCTGCCGTGTAGTTGAGTTGCAAATGCTAACAGTTAGCATCTACTAGCCGAGACGTGCTCCGCTCTCTTCTGGATGATAAATCGACAATAACAACCTCCTCTGGTCATGAGCCAGGATGGCTGAGTCCATTAATGCAAATTTTAGACAGTGACATAGATCTGTTTGATTTTTTTCTGACCCAAATGTTTCTCCATTTATTTTCTTTCTGCAGCTAAAGCAGGAAACGGGTGAAACAGAATTTTCACGTTCAGCCTACGCGTGAAACTCTGAGGGACCGAAAACGTTTCTCAAAAATAATAAGTAAAAGCACTTTCTCAGTTTTAAACTCAAGCAAGCAAGACAGACAAAAAAATAAACACTTAATGAATTTTTATTTAAATTTGTTATCACTGAAATGTGAATAAAACCACTGCTTTATTATTCCTTGTGTTCAGTTTAGGAAAATACGTTTCTGTGCGCTCAGGCACGGTGCTGCATGCAAAAACATATTAAAAAGTGAGAAAAAGCTCAACGGTTCACTAAGATATTAGGAAAAACTAACAATTATATATATTTTGGTGCATTTTCCTCCCATTAGTCATAAATATTAATTTCTGTAGTGCTGGCACAGCTTCTGCATGCTTTTAGCCACTGTGCTTCTATTAATAACAGCTTGTGCAACACAGAAAATTGGATATGTCTCACATGTGGCACTTTAACAACAAAAAATGTTAAAACATACATTGTGCAAAATTACTAAATAAATATATGCTTTTGTTTTAACATTTTAATACCCAAACGTTTGTTTTTTGCAACAAAAAAGGCTCACAAAGCATATTTAAGCATCAACCTTGGCACTTTTCTTTAATAATAAAATGAGCTGTCCTTGTTCTTCCTTTAACAACAGTGACAGAACAATGCTCATGCAGCAAGTGAGAAAAAAGGTCTAATAAGTATGCACCAAGCAGAGGCAAGGACACTCTGCACACAAAGAAGTGGTGCTGAAACCCTGGCGCACTAGCTAGCCCTTATAGAGCCTCACTTTTGACCCAGCTGTCTGTTTACGATGGCGAGTTTTGTTCCTCCGCTCATTAAAAGAACACCGACATGTGGAGCGAGAAGATCTCCCCGGGATGCGTTTGAGCTGGCCTGTGGTCATCATACCTGCAAATGAGAAAGAGGAGAGAAATGAAAGAAAATCATGTCAGCAATCCCTCTCCCAGTCAGAGCACTGTATTGGTCTCAAACACTGCCAGAAATGTTGTTTGACCTGTACCACAGTGTGCTACAATCCAATTTTTATATAGGGGTTTATGTATGCCTGCTTTTGCATGATTTGTAATTGTTGTTATTTCTAATATGGAATGATTCAATTCCTCTGCTTACCATCATAAATGTCATTAAATGTCATTAAACAGGGGAACTAGGTAGTTTTGGCTTGCTTTTAGCACCCCCTAGTGTTTGTTTGTAGAACCAAAAGCAAAACCTATCTCCTCGCTGCATGTTTGTCTTTCTAACACCTAAAAGCTGGGCGTACACTGTGCGACTTTTTCACTTTTTTAAGCCGATTTTTCACTCGTGCGAGAATCCACAAGATCGGGGCGAGTTTTGCGCTGAGCGTCGTGTAGTGTACAGGGGGTTACGAGAGGCAATTAACACCACGTGGCCAGCTACCGATCAGCAATTGTGAGCTCGCACGGACTTCTGGAGTGTTGATATTTTGTTCGTTCCTCGTGAGGGTTGAAGCAGCGCAGCGAGCGGCTGCGACTCAAAAAGTACCAGAACTGCTCACGGCGCATGCGTAATCATGCGTCAACACCGCTCACCCACTATTTCCCTAATAACACACGTTGTTCATTTTTATTTCAACATGTCTTTTACACACAATGTCAAGGATTGTCAAGAAAGCATGTTCGTCACGTTCATGTCAAATTAAACTGATCACAAAACACAGATTTACTTTCTTTATTTTGTTTTCCTCATCCAAACCCCATAAATCCCTGTGTGTCCTCCTGCAGCACTCCCGAAGGACAACAGGCAAGACAAGACAAAAAAGTCTGACGTGTTGTGTAAAAACTGCTATTTTTAGCATATTTTTAGGTCCGACGTGTTGCTACCAGACGTACAATGTGAGCACATGACTCGTGAGATCTGCTCGGAGAGGAAGTCGAACAGTTTGAGCTGAAGCTGAGTGCTACAAGTGAAAAAGTCGCTCAGTGTCCCCCCAGCTTTAATCTCCCCAGCCTTCCTTAGTGTCTATAGGAGTGACTCTTCACTAAATAAAACAAATCATCTAAAAACATGCAGGGAATGTGCTGGAAGCAGACTTCAGCACACATTTTTTCCAAGTCTCAAGAGAGCAGTCCATCAGTCTGAAGTTGCAAGTGCAACATTCTGGCGACAGGGGCTGGGTGGCCTTTCCTTAACCCTGTAAAGGGTTATTTTAGCACATACTGGCTCAAGAAAAAGATTATTTTTAAGTTATAAAGTATCCCTTTAAATAAGACACATTATGATTTTTTCCTTAGTTTAGAATGATTTTATGGTCGATAAAAACATGTTTATGAGGTTGTTTTGTACAAAATTCCTCTCACATAAAGCGATCTCAGCAGTTCTATTCTTGATTGTTTCGATACCTTCCAGAATGAGCCGTTTTTTGGGTTTTGCCACTTTTACCGGGTGTTTCAGCTGGTTGCATAATCATTGTGCCGCGTTGTCTGCGAAGAGTAGTATGCAGCAATTAGCCGCCCTTATAGTGGATAGGTGCGTTTCAATCAGTCATGTAGCATCGCATTTTCAACACATAGTGATGCATTTCTTTGCAAAATGTACACAATTAGTCTTGTTCTTTTACAGGCTACGCTTTATAATGCTTCAAGCCCAGCAGGTCAGATTAGGCCTGACAGGAAGTCAAACACAAAGGCAGTGTAAAATATCCAGAAACTTTCAAAATAAAAGTCATGTGCTATCCAGTCCAGTCGCCTAACTAGTAAAACAAAGTAGGTCGTTACTTGTGTGTAATCAAGGTAAATAGAACAGAACCACAGACCTTTCTGAATACATGCTGCCATCTTTTTCCTTGCTTGTTATCGTGTGAACTGACAAAATCATGAGTAGACTTTTAATTAACCAGTGATTTAGTGGTTTGGTGGACAAGATGTGTAGAACGCTTTCGCTGCTGTTTCGTGTCTCAAATGCTCCTGGCAGGAAGGGATACGCTGTTGAACTCACAGGTCAAATGTGTCTATTACGTTACGTAATGTGTATGCATGCGTGCAACAAAAAAGAAAGAGCGAGTAAGAAAACAGGCTGGAGCTGGCCAGACCCACCCGTCTCCTGCTCAGGCTGCCGTAAGCTAAGATGGTCTGTTATCCGGGAGGGGCTCTGAGTAGAGCTGCAGCTCCTCCAGCCTGCAGAGGTGGCAAGTGGTTCTAATTAAATTCCCCATTTGTGATGTCACAAATTGGGACTTTTTAAAACGGCGTGTTTTAAGTATATGATTCGTAAAGTCAAACATGAGTGAATTTTTTTTATACTCGTTTGGAGTGTTCATAGATGCAGTAGAGACCTACATGGCACATCACAAGGATGCAAAAGGTGAGGTCTGCATAATATGTCCCCTTTAATTATTGCTGCACTCTGACAGGAAATGAAACAAGAGCAGGCTGACAGAGAAAGTTGTGAGACCAAAGGGGACCGTGTCCACATCTATGTAAAAATAATATTCTCCATTACCCTATGTGCCAGTATCTGTGTGAATCACACTCCAGCAGCTGTTTTCATCTGGGAATCTCTAAACCTTCCCATAAACTAAAAGCAGCTGTCAAATCACCAAGCTGTTAGCAAACAAGTGAACATAAATCCAGTCAGCTGCTGCAGGAAACATTTGTGCCTTGGCTTCTTCCCTTCTTGACCCATATCTTAAAGTGTCTGTTTGACAGTGTCTTTTGCACGAGAACTGCTGAAAAAACAGTAAAACTATTAACCTTGGATGCTTTGGGTGCTCCTCAGTCTGCCGTTCAGTGCTGCAGTCTCCCGCTGAGCGTCACTCAGTGGCGCTCTCAGCCTCCGTTAAGACACAATCAACGTTTCGCTTAGATCCATTGTGTCCAACAGCCTCCTGCAGACACAGTCATGAACTCCACAGAAGTGCTGAGTAAAGGGCAAAAACCTTCTTCTGGCCCATTTGAACTAAAATGTCCTTCAACTTTAACCAATGCACATCAAAACTGTTTCTTAAAGTGCATTAAAATCAGCATAACACTGACACTTTCCCATATAACATCCTGACAGCACCTTGTGATGTAATCACTATTTAATTAACTCTTGATAATATAATCTTGACATTTATAATATGATCATAATTACAAACAAAAATGCGTATTTATTATTGATCATTAACATTTAATTTAAAATTCTTTCCTTATAGAGTTTTATAAAATTCATACAGTAACAAAATCTGGTTAATAAGCAATAATAATACCAATAAGTAATGATTAGATCACCATTTTGAGCTGATGTAGTGTGCCTTCATAATTGGTTAGCAGTTCAAATGTCAGTATTTTATTTTGAAAATCTGGTTTGCAAGTCCCATCCAATCTTATCTTTCCCAGTTTTCCTGGTTGCACACAACTGCTGCAGCTGCTGCTGTGGTCCTCTGAGTCATTAAGCATCTTGTCCAGTGAGTCATCCCAACACACTCCCGTCATCTTGGAGAGCAGCTGGTGGTAGCAGAGCTGGAAGGCCTCCCTAAGTAGAACCTGCAGATGCTGAGCCTCTACTCTAAAATCCTGCAACCTGCAGTGCAGGATAAGAAACGTCCACAGAAGGAGAGAAATAAAATGCATGTATAAATATGTTGTATTTTTTTCTTTGTTCGCTTCATTTTCATTCATGTTTATAATAGGTAAATGAATGGCATGTTTTAAAAATGCACTAGCCATCAGCACAGTTGTCAGTGCAAACAAGCATTGGCTAGCTGCCCCAATAGTCTAAATCGACTCTTCACGTGGATTCCCATAAGCTCCGCTCCTTGTTAGGATTTGTTTATCCTGCTTTATCTTTGTGGATCAGTGATGATTTCAGCTGCTTATCCCGGCCTCGTTTCTCAGATCGGACTGTCTCTCCAGGCAGCATTCAGGTGAGGTAGATTAAGATTTATTTCAGTTTCATGCTTTAGCCCATCACAGGGGCTTGTAATTTACATTGTGTTGTGGTGTCAGGAATGTCTAAATGTGTATCTATTTATAAAAAAATCCAAAGTAAATAACGACACTCGTTGCTTTAGTCCACGACGATGAGTCGCATTAGGCACAGGTTGGCTCCTCCCCTTTCTCTACACAGAGCTCTCATCCGGCCTGGGCAGCAGCTGAGTGTTTTTCCTCTTCTCTAAGATCCTGTTGAGCTCATCTGCAAAAGAGTAGAAGAGCGGGGATGTGTTTTCAGAGTCGCTTTGCCTCAGCAGCACGTAGCTGTTCCCGTTCATCCTCCTCAGAACGCTGGGCAACGTGGCCGACAGCCCGTTCGGAAAGTCAAACTCCGGGGAGGAAAATTGCGGCGTAGGAGGGAGAGGCGGGGCTGGGGGTGGAGGCTCTTTACCGAGGGAGGTGTGACCTTCACCTGGGACAACTTGCAGAAAGCCTTCATCTATGATGTCGCCATTACGTCGCTTAGAAACGCCGTTACAGAGGCCGTTGCAGTGACTCGAGACGGTCTTCGGCTCCATGTTGGAGGAGTTTCTGTGATGCTTTCTGCTCCTGCTGCTCCTCTTGCTGATCGGGTGTGCTGCAGTTGCTGCACGCAAACAGTACTTTCCTCTTTGGCCGACTCGTAAGCAGAAGCCCACATAAACAAGGACAACAGTGAGGACCACGCAGAGCGCTCCGAGGACGGTGATGAGGGACAGGTAGATGGCCTCCATTTTCCTGGGAGACAGCAGGAGGAGCGGTGACCGGGGCCCCTCAGATAGGGAAGGTTGGGTCGGTGCTGGCCGGGTGGTAATTAGACTGTGAGTTGGCTCAACAAGTGGAGGAGGCGGCACATCCAGGTTGATGCTCACATTGTATGTTACCACAGCAACCTTGACAGTGTTCTCAACAGCGTAGCAGGTGTACAGACCGCTCTGGTCCTCTCGGGCCTTGATAATCAGCAGCCCGTCCGTGCCGGTCCTGAAACCCGAGTTGAGGTTGTAGCCCTGCACCTCGGTACCGTCCTTCGTCCAAAGGGGCGTTGCCAGGTTAGAGCTGAGCTCACACTGCAGAAGGACATCATCGTCAACCCGCACAGAGCGGCTCCGCTGGACGACATCTGGACTACCGGAAAGCAAAGAGAAGTTAGTCTTTAACTCATAATTACTTAACATTTATCACTTTATTAGAGGTTGTCCAGGCTTATCTTGACACGAGGGCCAATTAAAACATCACCCCGTACAGAGAACAAGACCGAGGAGGCAGATGATGCTATATTTCATCAGATTGAAACTGATAAGTGGCGAGAAGGCATTTTCCTGCTCTGAATATCAAACAGATTTCCCTCCATAGATGGCAAAGATGTGATTAAAGACGGGAGGAGAGGTTTTTACCAACGCCGTGAACATAATCAACTTTCAAAGAGCCCTTCACTCCATCTCATAACAACTCTGGATCTTTTGAATCTCACATTTTCTACTTTTAATCGTCTTTCTACATGTCAAATGCAAAGTTTTTTTCATGCAGCATCAGATGAGATTTCTGCTTACCGTACGGTATTTGCTCACATCCACTTTTGCCATGCAGGATGTCTTGGATTAAAGCGGACCTGTGAAAAGATAGAAAATATAACAATGAGTGCATTAATGCAGATGAGCATTCTGCTTCTTCCTGTCTTGTAATTCCTGCTGTTGAAATGTGATTTATCACTGTCTTTTAATATCATTCACAACTCCTTTCTACTGACACAGCATTTCTACATCAATTCCAACTCATTAAGCGCACAGCTGCATGTTTACTATTACAGCAGCATGATTACACAACTGTTCTCTGAGCTGACACTGTGACAGGACACTGTGATATTGCAGGTAACTTAGGTCAGAGTAAACACATTTTTTAAAAATGCAGGTTGGTGCACTTGCAGCACTGCAGTCACCTGATCCAACCACGGATTTCATCGCTCACCTGTCTGCCTGAGTCAACACATCCACACACTCGGCTCCGTTCCAGGCGCAGTGAGGGTCTCTGGCAAAAACGCAGTCATAGCAGGAAGCATACCTGCGACAGTTTGAGAGCGGCAGCTGAATGACACCTGAAGGCGAGCCCACGTAGACGCTCATCTGAAAGAGAAAGATGGTTTTATTAATGCGAGTCAGCAGTTAATGTGGAAATGTAAGGATCTGTGTGAACTAACTACACTTTAAGGAATGTATTAGCTTCCATATGCAGGAAAAAGGAATGAAAATGTTTCTTCTTTTACATTAATTATTAATTTGGGCACTAAGAGCTAACATTTAAAGGAGTTTGAAGTAAAAATGACATCCAGTGGTCAGATGTGGATGCTGCGGCACATGTATCAAAACAAATGAGCAACTGTTACCAGTTATGGATCAGCACCTGAAAATTCTAGGCGACAAGCAAAGTTCTATACAATAGGTTAATGAGTAGATATTTACATTTCACTGTAATATTCAGTTGTTGGAAATAAAAAAAATTTGCTTGAGATACTTTTAGAGCTGACAATTTTTTATTTGTTGCTAATAGCATTGTTAGCTTAATATTAGCCTCTAGCCTTCTTTACCTGATATTAGAATAAAACAAAAACTTTCTTTTGCTTCTGGGCCACTCCTTTCACAGGCTTCGATCCTGTCCAAAATGTTGATGCCGGCTGGTGTCAAATTAAGGGTGCAGTGTGTAAGAATATAGTGAGAACTTTACAGTAAGAAAATCCCGAAGGAGTCTTAAGGTTTCAGTCATTTTGAGGATGGTTATACTGAAACATATTTCATATCCAGCTAACTGTGGAGATTGTCAGTTTTTCTCCTTTCAAAACAAAGGAAGGAGAGACGTTATTACTGCTTACCATCAGTGAGTGGGGGGTTGCCGTGTCTCCTGCTAATACTGCAGCGCCGACAATTGTAATTTGACGACGGCCGGCAAAAAGCTGCAGAGTTGTTTAAAGTAGTTGAAGTTACCAACTTTTACCCCAGGATGTAATTTTTACCTCCTTTCTACATAATGCAGCTTTAAAAAAGCTGAAGCAGTGTTTTCCGTCTGAGACTTGGCAACCCTGCACGCTCAAATAAGATGTTATTATTGTCAAATATGTTATTATTTTAAAAAAAGGTTCTGGTCAATTAAAAGTAAAAGTGTGCACAAATAGTCAAATATTGTCCAACAAATTCAATCTAAAGGTGCTGAACACTTGTTTAATCCCCCCCAATGTGCCCCCCCCCCCCCCCCCCCCCCCCCCCGGAGCCAGGCCTGGAGGTAGGGCACGTTGGTGAGCGCCTGGTGGCCGGGCTTTCACCCATGGAGTCCGGCAGGGCACAGCCCGAAGAGGAAACGTGGGTCCCACTTCCCATGGGCTCACCACTCGTGGGAGGGGCCAAAGGGGTCGGGTGCAGTGTGTGACGGGTGGTAGTCGAAGGCGGGGACCTTGGCGGTCTGATCCTCGGCTACAGAAGCTGGCTCTTGGCACATGGAATGTCACCTCTCTGGTGGGGAAGGAGCCTGAGTTGGTGTGTGAGGTTGAGAGGTTCCGACTAGATATAGTCTGACTCACCTCAACACATGGCTCTGGCTCTGGAACCAGTTTCCTTGAGAAGGGTTGGACTTTCTACCACTCTGGAGTTGCTTCCACTGAGAGGCACCAAGCAGGGGTGGGTTTACTAGTTGCCTCCAATCTTGGTGCCTGTACGTTGGGGTTTAACCCAGTGAATGAGAGGTTAGCCTCCCTCCGCCTACGTGTGGGGGGACGGGTTTTGACTGTGGTCTGTGCTTCTGCACCAAACTACAGTTCAGAATACCCACCCTTTATGGAGACCTTGGAGGGGGTGCTGGAAAGCGCTCCTTCTGGTGACTCCAGTGATCTTCTTCCGGCACTCGCAGAGTACAGACGCTTCTGCTTTTGCTCCCTTATCTTTTTTTCCCAAGGCTCTTTGTCCTGTCTGCCGACAGAGCGCTTCTCTGCATTTCTTCTGAAAAACCCTATTTTTTAGAATGGACTTAATTAATTGGTCATTCAACGCGATTGATAAGATTTTTTCTACGATGAGAATGGAGGAGGGGGCTCCCACTTGCCCGCAAGGGACACACGCAGCGGGATATATGCTCGATTTCTGGAGGGAGTGGAAGATCGTATGCCTCTCTCAGCTGTCCATTGAGGATGTCGAAGATGTGTGGATAATTGGCCTGATGATCACTGGATTTCTTCTGATTGGAGTGGGAGGATATCTGGTCTTCTGGAAATTTGGGAAGACGGGAGCGATTGGAGGGCGACCCGCACCCACGGAAAGCACCGTCCGTGTGGAGACCTCACAGACTGGGACGGTACTCGAGGTGAATCGTAAGCTGGACAATGTTCTAGCTGCGATACCAGTATTAGTGCGCAAAATGGATGTCATCTCGGAGAGGGTCACTGGACGGTGTGGAGATGTTTAAAACCTGAATAGGCTTCACTGGAGGACTTGAATGATCAGTTACAGACTTCAAGGCAGAGAGGAAAATTATCTCTGCCTGACCCAAACAAACTCTTGTTATCGGAATCTGACGCCATGGCAGCCTTGTGAATGCCAACAACAAACCCCCACGAAGGAATGCAGACAGATGCTGTGAAAACCCGTCAGTGAGGAAGCAGAGTCTGGGGACTTTGGGTTGGCCTCTTAAATCTCTGGTGCTGAGGTCACTGAGGTGGTTCAAAAGCTCCTCGATGGCTAGGTTCCGGGGGTGGATGAGATCCGCCCGGAGTTCCTTAAGGCTCTGGATGTTGTGGGGCTGTGTTGGCTAACGCGGCTCTGCAATATCGCGTGGACATCGGGGGCAGACCCACTGGACTGGCAGACCGGGATGGTAGTCCCCTTATTTAAAAAGGGGGACCGCAGGTTGTGTTCCAACTACAGGGGATCACACTCCTGAGCCTTCCTGGTAAGGTCTATTCAGGGGTTCTGGAGAGGAGGGTCCGTCGGATTGTTGAATCTCAGATTCAGGAGGAGCAATGTGGTTTTCGACCTGGCCGTAGAACACTGGACCAGCTCTATACCCTTAGGGGGATCCTGGAGGGTGCGTGGGAATTTGCCCAACCAGTCTACATGTGTTTTGTGGATTTGGAGAAGGCGTTTGACCGCGTCCCTCGGGGGGCCCTGTGGGGGGTACTCCGGGGGTATGGGGTACCAGGCCCTCTGATACGGGCTGTTAGGTCCCTGTATGACCGGTGTCAGAGCTTGGTCTGCATTGCCGGCAGTAAGTCGGGCTCGTTCCCAGTGAGAGTTTGACTCCGCTAAGGCTGCCCTTTGTCACCGATTCTATTCATAACCTTTATGGACAGGATTTCTAGGCGCAGCCAAGGTGTGGAGGGCATCCGTTTTGGTGGGCTGAGGATCAGGTCGCTGCTTTTTGTAAATGATGTGGTCCTGTTGGCTTCATCAGAACGTGATCTTCAGCTTTCGCTGGAGCAGTTCGCAGGCAAGTGTGAAGCAGCTGGGATGAGAATCAGCTCCTCTGAATCTGAGACCATGGTCTTGATTCGGAAAAGGGTAGAATGCCTTCTCAGGGTCAGGGATGAGGCCCTGCCCCCAAGTGGAGTGGTTTAAGTATCTCGGGGTCTTGTTCACGAGGGAAAACTGGAGCGTGAGATCGATAGGCAGATTGGTGCTGCATCTGCAGTGATGCAGGCGTTGTACCGGTCTGTCGTGGTGAAGAGAGAGCTGAGTCAGAAGGCGAAGCTCTCGATTTACCGGTCGATCTACGTTCCTACCCTCATCTATGGTCATGAGCTTTGGGTAGTGACCGAAAGAACGATAATCCGAAATAATAATTAAAAAACAAATTTCATTGAACCTTCTCCTTTAAGTGAATAATCTAATTTAGAGGAAATACTGATGTAAGTTAATAATGTTTAACTTTTTAATAAAACATCTTTATATTTTGTAGAATTTTTGTTGTTAGGTCATTTTTTTTCCCGATTAAGTTCTGTTCATGCTTCAATGAGATATAACGAATAAACCAAGCAGTTAACCTGCAAGTTAAAGGATTAACCAAGTTATGTTAACTGGTTTAATTCAACCTAGTTGCTCAAGTGTAAAGAGCAAATACATTGTTGTACATTGTTATGTAAAAAGTAAATGTATATTACCCTTTACACTTAAGCAACTAGGTTTGGTGGAACCAGTTAACATAACTCGGTTAAGTAAATTCAACCATTCATTTCTTACAGTGTACCTGCTTTTTGGATAGCAGCAGATTATCGACAGGCTGCGGTTCCTCAAACAGCTGAACCTCTTCAATAATGTGCAGCTGCCCTTCAATGTCTACAGCTTTGTGCAACCAGCCTTCATCTAAAAAGAACATCAAAAAATTAAGACATGGAATTAATGTCTGTGTTTATTTCCTCTCACTATTACAAAAATGTAAATTATTTACTAATTCATGAAAATTCCTACATCAAATAAAGTATATTTGTTAATACTTTATCAGGAGCGATATAACGTCACTGATACCTATGATTCACACTCACCTGTACCCATGTATAACACTTGGTACATTTGCTCATCTAACCCCTGGACCATGTGCACCACCATGTGTGTATAGTCGGTGGTCCTCCTGAACAAAAGGGGGCGTCTGTCTACAGGTTGGACCTGCTGGGACATCAGAGGATGGCGTCTGACAAAATCCAGCACATCGTCAGGCAGGGAGGTGGAGATGTTTATGCTCTTGGCCCTCAGAGAGTCGGTGATGCACTGAAGTAAAAGACAAGGAAAACTGTTTGGAAATGGAAGAGAGAAAGAAATCTTTTTCCTTGTTTGTAACAAGCGTGTTTCAATAGATGCTGACACAGGAGAGAAGAGATGTTACGAGGATTAGTGAGACAGATCAGCAATCGTGAGAAAAATCAGAATCTTTGGGGAAATGTTCCACTTAGATTCCACTGAGCCCGTATGAGCTCAGCCTCCGGTTTGCGCTGACGCGACTCGGCTCTTTGTTGCACCTGATTAATGAAAACAGTTTTCATTCTTCTTTCTGTTTGCTCGTTTCAAATGACCTCAGCCAACTCCTCTAAGAAGATTTCATGCTCTCAACTAAAAACCCTTAGCAAACTCCTGTGAGAGGAGCTGTCTTTGCCTTTAACCCTCCCACTGTCCTAATGGGTGTGACCCCGTGAGGAAAGTTGACCATAGAGCAGGATTGATGGTTTATAACTTGGGTCCATGTGGCAGGGGTGAGGAGTGAGCACCACCTCACCCCTGCCACATGGACCTCAAGGGATAAACCATCAATCCTGCTCAATGGTCAACTTTCCTCGCGGGGTCACCCATAAAGACAGTGGGAGGGTTAAACAGCAAAGTCAATAATAAGTCCAGAAACCTGTTGAAAAGGACTCCGCGGTGGATGATGCCTGCTACGTCCCGGCTCGGTTGCTTCTTTAAGCTTTTATCACCAAACCTGGAAAAACTGCCAAAAATTTGTTTTCAGCTTCATATTTAAAGTTGCCAGTCAAACTCCCTCCCTTTATTCCCGTTCCACTTCCCATTGTTCATCTCTACTTTGCTCTATGAAAGCTAAAGTAGAGCATCATCATACCTTCAGGGAGATACCATTTGTGTGAGCGTACATGCATAACCCCTTACCGTTCCAGGCCTCGGATTGGGGATCTTTCCAACATATTCCTTCCAGTTGGAGCCGGAGTCCTGGTTCTCCATGTAGGGTCCTTGGAAGGCTTCCTTGACTTCAGGCAGGGAGAACCGACACACCGCAGACGCCTTCACGTTTTTCCTTGGGACATCAAGGGGATGCAGTGAGAAAAACCAGAGCACGGGCCACAAACAATAACATAGGATAAACCCAGGGTTTCCATAGCGACTGAAGTAGAGATACAGCAGAGATGTGGATCAGAGGAGACAAATGAGGAGAAAGATACTGGGAATGATCAGAAATGTGTGAGAAGAGGAGAGAACTAAACAGTTTCAAAGAGCAGAAACATTAAATAACTACAGAATATAATTTCTTATTTTTTCCACTGACAAACATTTAGCTTTGGCTTAATAATTAATTTTTCCTCCCAGTATGGCTTTTTGGTGAAATATCACACTGAAAAAAACACTTTCATTTTATTTTCAATATTTTCTTTCTTTGTTTCGTTAAAAAGTGAACAGAGTCGCTACTTAAGCTCAGCAAACGTCCCCTCCTTCTGCTGCTTTATCTGATTAAACTGGCAGCCCAGTGTGTGGGCTTTATTGGGAAAGGGCCACTTAAACAAAATGTTTGTTCCTGGCATTTGTTTACCAGAATTGTTTACTAGGAACAATGAATATGAAGTAGAGCTTCTTAAAATGATTTTTTTTTATCTTTGAGGTTGCAGCCTGGATTTTGCTCACAATTAGTCTTTGGGATCTTGCAAATGAAAACGAGACTTGCCAAATCAGCCTGGGAGGAAAGATTTTAGGAAGTAGGGATGGACAATATATCAGCATCAATATCAGTATCGGCTGATGTTAGTCATTTTTTAACATATTGGTATCGGTTCGATAAATAAAACTGGGCCGATATTAACAACGACTATTTTTTCCATCTCATCTCCATGTGTTTGCCTGTTTCAGAGGGTGAGGGTGTGATGTGTATTTGTTTAGTCGTGAACAGTGAATGAAATCATCTCAGAACCGTCAATGCATGTGTTGTGTGTACATAATAAAGTACATTCAGCTTTAATCATTTTCATTCTATACAAAATCTGCTGATTTTAGAAGCATTAATGTCAGTATATTGTTATCGGCAAATATCGGTTATCGGCCGTGACAGTGATCTTAATAACGGATATTGGTATCGGCTCAAAAATTTCATATCAGTGCATCACAATTAAGAAGTCACAGGTCTGTTTGAAAATATAGATGAACTTTCTTTTAAGTCATTAAAGGTGCAGTATGGGATGTTTTTCTGGAGCGTTTTTTGCCATATACCTTAAAATGCTCTTAACATTTCAGTGGCAACCAACCAAATGAAATGTACAATCTTGGAAAAAACCTCATCCAATCATTGTGCCGGTCCCCGTCCTCAGTGACTTGGCTGTTACCCATCCATCAAACTGCTCCTCTAAATTGCTGCATTTCCATTACCGGAACTTCGGGGTAAATGACATGGACTTCTTGACACGCGGGTGTCTCCACTTAACCGGGCCAGCTGAACGGGCATTTTCAGGTTCGTTTTCAGGAACTTTCTGAATACCTGATCGGGGTAGGTACTCGGAATGGCCCGGTGGAGTAGCTGAGCGGAACTTTAGGTTAACTCACTCTGATTGGTTGGAACTCAACATCGTATGCCGTTCAAAACTCCTGGCATTAGTAAAATTAGAAGAGTTACTTGTGAAGCAGAAATGGAAACAAAGGAAAATGAGCATTGTTTTAAAATAGAGTCACTACACTCCTGACACTGGAAAATACTGTGAAATTTCCCCACACTGGTGGAATTTGTGGGGTTTTGTTGTCTCACAGAGCGCCATAAAAGACGGAGCTTCTTCTGGTCATTGAACGCCACATTTTACATCACACAGCTGCTCTCGTCCTCCAAATGGATGAAATTATGATATACTTTGACGGAATAAAACTTTTATGTTATTAACAATTTGCCATTTTAACGTTACTGATACTGGTAGTGGAAGTATTCATTGAGAATGCAGTGTGTGTGCGTGCATGTTCTGGAAGTTTCTACTTGTTAATGGCAAGGTTTTCTCAAATTGTTGGTAGTGCTGAGCTGCTGTTACTTTGAAGTTAAAAACAAACCAAGAATTCCAAAAATTGCCTCATTTGGTTTACCATTAAAAAAACCACAATATATTAGCTAGCATGCTAAAGTAGAGGGGGAAGACAGCGTGCGGGCTAATCAGCATAATATAACTTCATTGGTGTGTCCTATAAACGCATCGTGCCAGCATGGCGTTTCGTGAATTTTGCGCCTCGCTTGGTAGTAATATTGCAGTAATTGTCTGTCTCATAAACGGTGATTGCGCCTTGGCGCAACAAAAAGAGGTGTCACGATGACGTGGGGAGTTACTGCTGAGCTCCGGCCAGCAACTATACTGAAAATGAAAGTAAACACGGGATGTAAGTCTTGCTTTTTGAACTAAATCACCAATGCAGCGCTCCTGAGGCTTCTCTCTGTTAGAGCTGGAGATCAGATCACCAGACAGCATGGGGGCTACGGAGGACAGACACCTTTAGGAGGGGCTTGTCAACAATCGTGGCTTCAATCGCAATAAAAAGCAAGTTACTCCAAGATAAATGGAAAATCGCAGCAGCGCAGGGACCACCACTATAACCCCTTTATGCCGCCATTGCCTAATCTTTTATAAAAAGGACACACTTGGGGGGCGCTAGCCAGCCGCAATGGAGTGAGACGCTTTCTCAGGAGCTTCCGCAGAACTTCGATCACAAGAATATATTAAAAGACATTTAAGCTCAAAAACTTAAAAACCAAGTACAGTAACTGCCGGACTAACACTACATGGCAAGGCGCAAAAAAAAACCCAACGCAGATGGCAGCGAATCTTCGAAAATACAACTATGAAGCTAGCTCGACCACATGGCCTCAAACCACCTCGGCTAAAAGTCCAGAAAAACCCGGCTTGACCCAAACGGTACCTGAAGTAAGTACAGGCATGGACACCACAATCTCAGTGCATGATACAGCATGTGTAATGAAGACAATTCTGTATGTGATTTATGTGAAACATAAATAAAAATTAAGTTTAAAAAAAAGGACACGATTGCGCCACATTACCACCACGGTCTGACTACTTATAAACGACCTAAGGCTTCCTGATGCCGCCACGGCATTGCAGCAAATTGACTGCATTGTTTTGTTAAAACGGCTTAGGGGGGAGCTTGAAGAAAAGCTTTATCCCAGCTTTTATTTTAAGAACATAAATGGTGCCTTTAACACTTTATCACTGCATTCAAGAAAAAAAAGACATATTTGCTTATTTAGAGGCTGAAAAATAAAGTAAACTTGCCAAACATCTGGTATGGAGGTAGAGCTGCAGTCCTTGCAGCTTTACCTTTTTAAGCAGTAGTCACAATTAACCTCATCTATTCCCTTAATAAAACATGAGCTGTGTAAACGGCATTAGCTGCTTTTGTATGTCAGACATAAGCACCTCTAGCACCAAACCACATTAAGACTTTCTAATACATCCTAAATTTGCATCTTTGATTTCTGGGTTTTGTATTACTCCTCCCTTTCATCTAATCCTTTCTTGACTCTAACAGCCTCTGTAAATCGATTGCTGTTTTTCATCTCTGCCTCGCTCATCCACATTTGCAATCTCAAAACCGATCCCCCACCCCACCTAAAACCCTTGAACACACACAAAATCTCCACTCACCACTCTAGGCCAAAGATGCCGTAGAAGAGCGTGTCTTGTGGAGTGAGGCCAGGCATAACAAAGACGCTGCGCAGCATGTTAAAGTGGAAGTCGTACTCGGGCAGCGAGCACGTCAGCCTGGTCTTCAGGAAGGACGTCCATCGTTTCTGCAGAGTTAAACGGCCTCCCCTGTCTCCCTGGGGGCAGGAAGGAAAGGACATATGAGGTGACTGCATTAGAAAACAGGAAAAACAGATTAGGTGCTTCACTAAAGATGAAAAGGTTTCCTGAAAAGAGCTGTAACCTCTTGAAGAAATGACTCCCTGACAGCTACTCAGAACTGACAGACACCTTATCCACGCATCATAAAGAAAAATGCATATTTTTAAGTTTTGAATGAATTCAGCCCGTGGTAACATCCAGGCATCACACATAACACCACAAGGCAACTTATTAGGATTACAAAAACACATATTTCTTCACTTTCTCAGGGATACATTTTAAGCCTGCCTTTTTTTCAGACACAAAAGGAGAAAAACAAGGTTACAGGAGTGTACAGCTGGCTATTGCCACTCATAATTTCTTCCAGGGGAGCAGGGAATGGTAATCACTCATGTTTTAGGCAACAAAAGATGCTAAACAATCTGTCTCACCTGTAGCCACCTCAGTCTTGTAAGCCTGAGTGACTCTGCAACCAATTCATCAGTTACACAGTCTGCGCCTTTAATTACATCGAGGTTGTGCTCCTAATTTATCCCCCACCCAGCCCCTCATTTATTAAAACCAACTAAAGGCTATTGCACACATTAACCTGATGGAAAGCTTCACCTGTAACCTGCTCTCACCTTGCAGACACGGGCTACTCGGGCCACCCTGCTGTGGCTGTAAGTTGTCGTCTGTTCCTGGCTCTTCTCGGTAAAGAAGAAGTAGATTTTATCATCGTCGCCGCTGCCGCTGCCCAAGCTTTCCTTCACAAGAGCTGAACCCACAAAGTCCGCGTCTGCAAGGTCAGAGAGATGCTGTGATTTCTTTTGACTAGGTACACGCTGAGATGATCTTATCCCAGGAAATGACCTCACCGTTCAGCCAGCGCGTGGGAGCATCCTCTGTCTTCAAGGAGGGGGACGGAGAGTTTCGGCGAATATCTGGAAAGCTCCAAAATTCATACTGGGAGGCTGTGTATATTTGCTGGTCTGAAGGAGACCACCAAAAAAAAAAAAAAAAAAAAACATGAGAAATTCTAAGTTTAAAGCCAGTTTGGGGAATTATTTTAAGTGACGTACCTATGATAAGAGCAGTGTAGCCTGTTGTTGGCCCATAAGGACATTTATCTCTGCCCTCCTCAGGTTGAGAGGACACAACAAACCTCCTCTTGTCCTGTGCAGTAAAAAAACAGAAGCATCATTTAGGTGTAATGCACTTAATCAGATGCAGAAGGAAACTGTAATAGTAGACCTACTATGTATGCACAGAGGGGTTTGAAGGCGTGAGTCCCACACATGTACAGATGGGTGGAGTTAAAGCTCTGGAGCAAGCGGATGTGATTAAAACACTCCGTCTGAAAGAGGAATAGGCTTCATTAAAGTTAGGGAACAAATATAAACAGTAGGAGGAGAAACTACAAGGCAACCTATTACAATTTTTCATGTTAGCTTATAAAATATTTCATCTTATCCTTGAGTGAATATTGATTAGTGACTAATGTCATCCATGTGGTACACCAATAAGTTGCTTCTTCTTTATATTTATCAGCCACTTGCATTAGATGATGCTGCTAAACACTTCCTGTCATCCAGCAATGTTCCTTATCAGTAAAAAAATAATTATACAAAAGTTGGACATAGCACCTCTACCTTCTGCTGTTAAAAAGTCATTTTAGGAACCAGGGTCCTCACACTGGAGACGCAGAGCTGAAAGTCTCATCTATTCTAGTTGTTATTTTTAAAGGTCAACTTTACTCCTATTTTAATACATTTGCAGTGGTCTCTAGAAAGAATGAATGCCTTGTAAGTTGTACTCGGGAAGGGGGGGCGGACTCCGGTGCACCTGTTTCAGCACGGTGAACTCAGCAGGGGGAGGAGATAGCTTCAGACTACCCTGGCCTGCCAGACTCATCCTCTGTCTACGCAGAGAACTAGTCTGGTTACTCACAGGCAGAGGTGCACTTGAGGGGCGGGACTAGCCAGCTAAAAAATAACCAATCAGAAAAAAGGCAGAAATGCCGACTGTACCGCGCCACGTTGTAGTTTATTAGCTGTAGTCAAAAATGGCATCTGGCGAAGGCGCAAAAATCTTTTTTTTTATTTTTTAGAAGAAATGTGTTTAGTGCTTCTTCTTGTTGTGGTTTTAAAGACATGTTCAAGTCATTTAGAACAGAGGAAATAGCCGCAGCGAACTCCGCTTCAGACACCATGTTTTAGAGAAACTCAGTGTTGCAGTGTGTGTGTGACGTACGCTGCTCAGCACTGATTGGCTCTGTTAGAATTCTCAGGGGGTGGGGCTATTTGAATAGAAGAGCTTCCCATAAGGGAGCATGGGGCTGGCTGGTCAGGCTAGCTTCAGACACCAGGATTTGGAGTCTTATTTCCTGATGTTTGCTGATAGTAAATCAGGTGTATTTCATTGGTATCTGAGTTGGATTTGTTACAGTAGTCTCTCGCTATAACGCGGTTCACCTTTTTTTCCATCCATAAATAAAAGGCTACAACAAAAATTGACATTAACAAAAATCTAATCAGAAAATGTAAAAAATAAGCCAACGGAAAGAATACCCAATTAGCAATTGAGAGAGGCTGGACGATACGAGAATAGAACCAATCAGAGTCCGGAGCTGGCTGCTGTTTGAGCAAGCTAGCAGCATATGCCAATAACTGTTGAACATTTAATGTCTAAAATGGGAAATTGTCAACGGCTGGGAGGAAAAGCATTAGGCGTGACCATCTGAAAAGTCTGCTTGGTGAGTAAACACCGAGGTTCTCTCCTGGTTTTAAAAGTTACAGTGGTACTAGCATGCGGTGTCAGGATAGGAGTGAAATGCTGGACTCAAACCAAACCGAAAACACGGAGTGGTGTACCTCGTTGTTTTATTGTTTTTGTGGTGTTGCTATGGCCGTAATATAATAAGCATTCAGTGTCCAAGTGGTGTTTTTGTGAAGAAAAACATTCAAGCAGCACATTTTGGTTAATTAGTTGAGGGAAAATTAAGAAAAACACCTGAAAAAAGTCTTACCTTTAATGGAAATTTGCATGCTTTTTTTTAACAGTGCATTGTGGTTTGCATCATGATTAGGGCAGAGCGAAATGTCTGAGAAATGTGTATAAAGTGTGTAATGAGGGGTTTTACAGCCTTAAAACATCTATAGTAATTGTAATAAATAAAGCTGGATTTCACCTTTTGCGTGTTACTTTTGAAACGTAACCGTCGCGATATATGAAGGACCACTGTACTCTAATTTTATTAATTAAAAATAAATCTTAGAAGTCAAAAAATGTTAATTTACCGTCACTGTGGACAATCAAACACAAAAACAAAGAAAACATTGATCTAAGAGTGAAAGAACTCCTAAATGCCTACCTTGTTGTCTTTTCCTTTGAGCCGACATTCGTGCTTTTGCTCGGCGGAGGCCTCCCACTCAATCTATAAAAGACCGAGGAACAAACGGTACAAAGAGACAGAGTTAGATTCTTTCACAACACTGAGGCATACAATATTTCAGACCAGGTAACATCACCATATAGCTTTAATTTTATTAATTATTTAAATAATAAATCTGTTATTTCTCTAGCACAAGCAGCAGATTTAATGGTTTTTGAACAGCAGGTTCTTTTATTTCCACTCTTAGACAACAAAGACTTGCACGCACTCGAAAACAGCTTTATGTCAAGTTGTCACCGGGTAAAGAACAAAGAATTGAGGAAAGTTGATCTGTTTGCTGTGTAGAATAACAATGAACATTTGTGACATTTGTGTTGAGATTTGTCTTCTTGGATGAATATAGAGCAATAATTAACAGAAATCACCATATTTTCTTATGGTCTGCTTCAGTGCTTACATTTAAATTACTTTAGATTCAAACCAGCTGTTTCTAGACCAAAAATGTGAAGGAACTCAAATGTTTTAACCCATTTCATGTAGCATGGGACTAGAAATGTGCAGGGGAGGCCACGCTTGTAACCCAGCAAACCATGAGCGGTTTCTTCAGAGTATTCCTGTCAGATTTAATGGATTTTATGTCTACCTGACATGTGTAGTATACACATGCCGTCCTGTAATGCCTTGTGTGTGCTTACACCATCTCAAATCAGCACCAGAAAGAGGAAGACCTCAAATAAATGTAAAACAAATCACTTAAATGGATGCAAATTCAGTTTATTAACCACTGATTATTATTCTCAAGCCACAAATAGAATTAAATTCAGTTTTCTTGATCCATTACTTAATATGTAATTTATTTAATCTAATTTAATTGGCTCTAGTAAACAGACCGAATTTCGAACAGCAATAACACAATTGTTCTCTTTTAGTGGAACTGGTGAAAAAAACCTTATGCAAAATATTTTTCATCTCAGTTCATATGAACAGTTGAAAAATTACTACAATTCCAAAACAAACAATAATTTACCTCCTCCAAATAAGCAGCGTTACAGAATGTCAGTTTTCAAATTTACAGATAAACTAGGCTACAATTGCAATACTAAAATACTCAGTTTGGCCAGTAGGTGGCAGTAACATGACACACCCATCTACTTCCGGACCATGGGTCACCGGAAGAACAAAAATATGAATGCAAGTCAATGGGGCTAAAAACGCTAATTCTAATCCCGTTTGATATGTGCCATGGATTTCACATTTGATGTCTGTTTCTCTTGGCTATGTAGCATTGTTCTCTTTAGCCATAGCCTAATGTGGATTCAAACCGACTCTAAATAAATGTGTTCTATAGTTTTGAGCTGAAGAGGGCGATAGACTGACATTTTTAGGCAGAATTTTGTGTTTTCAAAGAAAATGCATCAAAATGCAAAAATAATGACATGTCTACAACACTATTATACACTCATTTATATAAGTTATCAGCCAAAAAAAAGTATATTTTGGTGTGACTTGCTCTTTAAAGACACATTCTGATGCCAAGAAAGCACTTATTTTCGAATTGGGAGAATGTTTTTTTTTTTAGGTTTTGTGTGAAAATACGTCCAGGACTACAAATGCACATCATCAAATTGACATCATCGAACCAGACACTGTGAAAGACAGAGGAAAAGAACCGCCATAAATCTAGCCATGTGGTAAGAAGCAGCTATGCTAGGGAGATTCTGAGGTGGCGTCATATAAGCGACGTACCGACGTCTGATTTGTAGTCATGCTAACTACGAACTTTAACAAGATGATAAATCTCAAAGTATGGTATGAGCACGGTCGAAACACGCATCATTACTTTTAATTTAAACTGAAGTACAACATACTGTATGTGCGATCCAGGGCGTAAGGCAAAGCGGATTAGAAAATAACTCTTTTAGCCCCATTCACTTGCGTTAATTTTATCGTTCCTCCGGGGACCTATGAGCCAACCGGAAAGGGAGGAATCTTAATATGCTGATTTAAACAATACAATCCCACAAAATGAGAACAAATAAACATATTTTACAGCAACAGCTATGATTGTGAATGAGGAAGTGACAGAGAGAGAGAGAGAGAGAGAGAGAGAGAGAGAGAGAGAGAGAGAGAGAGAGAGAGAGAGAGAGAGAGAGAGAGAGAGAGAGAGAGACAGAGAGAGAGAGAGAGAGAGAGAGAGAGAGAGAGAGAGAGAGAGAGAGAGAGAGAGAGAGAGAGAGAGAGAGAGAGAGAGAGAGAGAGAGAGAGAGAATGAGATTCAGCCCCTTTTTTAGCATGCTAGCTAGTTGTCTATATCAGGGGCACTGTTGGCCAGTGCCTCAGGGACATTAAATTCATCGGTTCTGATTGGCCCAAAATTATCCAGTTCTCCCTAGCAACCAAATGTAACGTGATGAAAGAGCCATTTCTACCCTCTAACAGCTGTTTCCTTCTGACACAGTCCCAGAGTGCATGAAACAGCCCCAAGGTCACGCATTCGCTTCTAAACTGTTACATTCCAGCAATGAAGACAGAAGAACGAAGAATGAACTCTTTTCTTTTAATTAATCAAAGAACTCTATTTTAATAAAGCGAATCCATCAAAGTGTTAGTCAATAATAAGATGTGACCGACCTGTGAAATTAAAATACTAATTACTTTATTATGATCTTAGAAAATAAGTCTGTGACTTTAAGGATTCCAACAGGACTCATTTCACGTAGTGTTAAAAAAACATAACACATTCTTTCACTGATCCAATCAGAATTTTACAGATCTGACGGAGGCGTGCTTCTGACGGTGTTTGGTAATTTTCATTCGACAATAAACCATAACATCCGAGATATAAAACTATGCCATGTCAGCTCTAACGCCAGATCAAAGGGTTCCAGAGAAAGTGACGGAGTGGCCAATCCTGACCTTTTACTTTTTAACCGAAAGAACCACGACAAGCTGAAAAAAATCCAGTCGCTATAACACCCAGCGGCGACAACAGCTCCTTTCAGAATAAAAGCTCCACTGACCCAGGCTTGGGTCTGAACAGACACCAATAAAAGTGTCATGTGCCAGAGGTAACTCAAGACGGGCCTGGTCGGAACCACGGCTTCTTCAACCAGCTCGGTTTCCAAAGAGGGTCCGCAGGACCTCGGCATTCCTGATCTACTGAGGACTTCCACCAGGCAGGTAGATGAGACTTGATGGTGTCTCATGCTGTTTCTGAAACTAACCCAAGCTTATTTCAAAACAACATCTTCAGTTCCCGTCAGAACTAATCGCTTCTTCGGATTTGCTGGTTCTGATTTACATGACACGTCATCCATTCACCGTCTCATCCATTTTTAGCTACACTATACACTTAGTTCTGAAGTCAGCCTAGTTTAATTTGTTAGTAATAAAATTCTTAACTTTTAAACTTGACTCTCTCTATTCTGTTGTCTCTGAGTGAATACATAACGGTTACATAATCTCTGCATTAAAAAGATCCCATCTTCTGGTCTAAATAACCCTCGATCCGTGAGGCAGATTTCATATTTCCTATGGAATCCCACGCCTTACGGCTCATTAAATAAAATTTAAGAACCTCTCATTTTCCTAACACAAATTTGATTGGCTGCAGTTCAGGGGTGCTTTTTCCAGCTGTCCAGGAGTGAAACTACTGCAGTGAGTCTGGTGCAGGAAATTCACTGTTTATTGAGAGACAGTTGGTGGAAATGATGAGTAAATCATTCAGAGTGCATCTAGACACATACAATTAAGCAAATCTGACAAATATATAGTAAACACATGAATACATATTGTAGTTTTATTTACTTTTTACATTTTTTTTCTCCCTTCAAGTCAGGGGGTGGCCGCTACGGACGAGCCACCACTGTCTTTTACCCATTTTAACCAGCAGGCCAACTTCATTTTAATCTCTATTTTTCCAGTAAACACGCACTGATTAACTGGGGAACAATCTAAAAGATTGATATTTTTTAAGTGCAATCAAGAACCACATTTTCAAAGAAAACAAAGAGCAGCCCTCTGCATTTACTGTTTTGAAACTATACTTTTTCATATTGAGTCATAGTGCAATTCTGGCAGACGTAGCTGATGGTACTTTATCACAAATTCCACAAAGAATTATCCTTTTTTTTGAAGGAGTGATCTTGGACGACCACTAATTTGATTAAACTCAACGTTTCACAGATGATTTGGGCTGAATTTTTGTAGAAGCAACAGAAATCCACTTTGACTTTGATTTCATTTGACTATTTTATTTTTGGGGGTATATAGCGTTCTGGGAATCTAACGTTTTAGTTTCACCTTCCAGCTCTAAAAGGGCAGATTTATTCTGCCATATATCCAATAAATATTTTATTTATTAATAAATATTAAATTATCTTTTTTTAAAGTTTTAAAAAAACATTGACTTGAGCAGTAAAAATGCATCTGTAGTGTAATTCTGAACCACTGAGTAAAAGCAGATGAGTGGAAAAAATACTTCTACCCTCAAAATAAAATGTTGTCTCAGTAGATTCCTGCATTGTGGGATGCAAATGAAGCCGTGGTAGTTAGAGAAACATGGCAACCCAGGAATACAACATGCACCACAACAAACAAACTCACAGTTAGAGCAGAGCTGGCTGAGATGTCAGAAGCATTGAGAGCAAATACAGCCCCCCGGGCCCCAACGTAGAGGCGCTCACTGTCAGCCTCCAGCAGCAGAGTGCTGTAGTTGACTGCAGACGACTGAAAATGCCTGCAGCCCTGAAGACCTGAGCACAGGAGAAGAAAGACAAGGAGACAAGAGGTCAAATAATTGAGTTTTTTTTCTTCTAGGCCCTCTGATAGTTCTTCTGCACAAATTATCTATATAAAACAGCTCCTAATGTCCTTAAAGAGGTACATCACAAGCATATTTATGCCACTCAGGTGAAATCAGAATGATACTCAGGCTCATTTAAGAGATAGCATTAAAATTTAAGAGATGTAACACATAAGGGAATCTATGTGGAAAAAAAAGCATCTTTAACCTTCCACTATTCTTCCAGTTCCTCTCATTATTTCAACAGCATATCCCGGGCTTCTTCCGGCTCTTGGAGAGTACGGACGCTTTTTCTCCTCTCCCCTGCTCCTCCCAAGGCTCTCTGTCCTGTCTGCCTGTGCACTGCGCTTCTCTGCATTTTTTCTGGAAACTGGAAATTATTAAACATGGATCTGGTCAGTTGGTCTCTCAACGCGACTGACAAAACTTTTTCAACGATGAGAATGGGAGAAGGGGCTCCCGGTTGCCCCTCTGGGACAGAGCCAGGTGGGCATATCATGGACTCCTGGAAACAGTGGAACTTGATCTGCCTCTCCCAACTGTCTGTAGAGGATTCTGAAGATGTTTGGATATTCGTCGTTTTGGTGTCGGGATTCCTGCTGTTTGGCCTGAGCGGTTACCTGGCATACCGGAAAATTAACGGGCTTTCGAGGAATATTGGCTTAACCCCGGAGCTCAGGGATGGAATGCATTGCACTGTAAACTCACAAACTCATATAATTGTTGAGATGAGTCGTAAGCTTGGAACTTTGGCTGAGATTCAGGCTCTGGCACAGAAGGTTGATTCGATGAAGGAAAGAGTTGACGGATCAGCACGAATCGGAATAGATTGATAACGCCATTATTGGACCTGGATGGGTTGAAGACCAACAGAACACTAAGACAGAGAGGAAATTATCTCTGTCTGTCCCCAAAACAATTTTTATCTGAATCTGGTGCCCTTGGAGCCTGTGAGGCTGAAGTGATAACTCCCCCCTCAGACGAAATGTGGAATGTTGCCATCACTATGGAAACCCTTTCTCCCTATCCCAGCCTGGGCGGGACTGTGACCGGTGAAGGCCGTGGAACCGTATCTAGGACTCAATGTGCTCTCTAAAGCCGGGCATACACTGTGCGACTTTTTCACTCGCAGCGTTCAGCTTCAGCTCAAACTGTACGACTTCCTCGCAGAGCAGATCTCACGAGTCGTGTGCTCACACTGCACGACCCAGTTCTCGCATGCGACCTGACTGCTCACACTGTACGTCTGGTAGCAACACGTCGGACCTAAAAATGTGCTAAAAATAGCAGTTTTTACTCAACACGTCAGACTTTTTTGTCTTGCCTGTTGTCCTTCGGGAGTGCTGCAGGAGGACACACAGGGATTTATGGGGGTTGGATGAGGAAAACGAAATAAAGAAAGTGAATCTGTGTTTTGTGACCAGTTTAATTTGACATGAACACGACAAACACGCTTTCTTGACAATCTTTGTGAGTAAAAAAAACGTGTAGAAACAAAAACGAACAGCGTGTGTTATTAGGGAAATAGCGAGCGACCGGCCGGCGTTGATGCAGGATTGCGCGCGCATGCGCCGTGAGCGGTTCTGATACTTTTTGGATCGTAGCTGCTCGCAGCGCCGCTTCAACAGTGCGATACCCTCACGAGGGACGAGCGAAATATTAAACACACCAGAAGTCCCTGCGACCTCACGACTGCTGATCGGCGGCTGGTCACGTGGTGTTAATCGCCTCTCGTAACCCCCTGTACACTACACGACCGCTCGGCGCAAAACTCGCCCCGATGTCGTGGCTTCTCGCACGACTGGAAAATCGGCTCAAAAAAGTGAAAAAGTCGCACAGTGTACGCCCGGCTTAACCCATTGTCTCCCTCCCCTTTCCAAATGGAGGTGATGAGCGCTGCTCCATGCTGCTGCACGCTCTGAAGTGAGGAGAGTCCCAACCCTACCTCCCCACCTAGTGGACACTTATGTTGTGTATCGTCTGAAGTCTGTGTGCATATCTGTCTGAGGTGGTTTTTTGCATAGCAACGCTATCCTCTCTGTCGGGGGTAACTCTGAAGTGCCTTTTCTTTCCCTCCCCTTGACTCTATCATAAAAAACCCTCTTGATCTATTACAGTAGGGAGACTCGCGCTGCGAATGACCAAAGTCACCAATTCTTGTCATGTGTCTATACGTACGTCTGATCTTGGAATTGTGTGTACTGAAACAACTGAATTTCCCTCTGGGATTAATAAAGTATTTTTGAATTGAATTGAATTGAATTGAATTGAATCCCCTGTGTGACCTTGGGATAACAAGGGGGGAAAAAAAGCCACATTATAGCTCCACATATTAAATCTCAACACAAACACTTTCCACGGCAGATATTGGTTAGGATTTATCTCTGAGGAAACTTACACAAGTTAAAAAATACAAGCTGAATATTCCTCCTCTGTCCCGGCTGCCTCTGAATAAAATTAATTTATCATCTTTGTTGGTTTTCTGTGGATTTAATCCTAAAATGTTAAAAACAGATATCTGCAAACTAATGAGATTTTTTTCTTCACAGTAACAGAAAGCCACAGAACACATTAGACTCAAGAAGGAGAGAAGGAGAGTTTTTTCAATTAGACCTGACAGCATAAGGCTAAATGGTAAAAATGCCATTGTCAATTATAGATTTCTTCTTGTATGATATTTGATTATTTGCACAGTGGGGATTTAATTTATATGAGAATTTCCTTTATGATATCAGATTATCTTTGAGGTTTTTTTTTTCAGAGCAAATCTATGGAGTTAGGATTGGGATAATATTACATGTAGCTTGTACCAAGTTTTGTGACATGTGACATGTTTTGTACAAGCCCCCATAATTCGGGTCTGGAAATGAAGCAAAACAGGAAGTAACAAAAATTGCAGTTCCACCCTCATCCGCTGGGGGCTGGTGTCAGAAGCGAGCAAATCCTCATTGACTCCCATGTTCAAAATACCAATTTCACAGCAGAAATAAACATGTTAACAGCCTTGTTCCAAAACATGTTTTTTGTTTAATAGATCTAGTTTACACTCATGACAACTCTGAGAGGGGTGAATTTTTTGGTCACGCTTCTGTTTAAGTGTATTAAAAGCCTAAAATTCTGTATAATTAATGAGCATCAGACCCACGTGACCACAGAGCTAGCTCCGGGGAAAGGCCTCAGCCTGAGCCTCGGCCTCGCCTTAAAACTGTTCCGTGATTTTCAGTCTCTCAACTTAGACCATTAGTTGTGGTGTTTGTGCGTTCTTTTTTGGACATTATTGGTGCAATTGTTGGACAAAATGACTTGCTGTGATATTAATTGCACTAATAGAGCGTCCAAGGAGTCTCCACTTCATTTTTTTCAGCAAGTAAAATTATATTTATGGATTTTAGGTCACTGCCGCTCTTGCACTAGCTGAGGTTAGATTTTAACATGTATTGTTTATCCATGAAATTTTAATTTAATAGGGTAAAACCCAGTGCATTTAAAATAATGCTGCACTTTAGAAAATGGGTTGAAATATGACATGTGGGTGGAGCTTGGTTCCGACTGGCGCATCTCTGATCGCAGCGGCGCCTGTCTGCTGCGCGGGCTGCCAGCTTGTGGAGCTCTCGGATGGAAACCGATGTTTTCCACCCGGTTTTCCCCAGCAGCAGCTAAATGCATCTCTGATCGCAGCGACGCCTGTCTGCTGAGCGGGCTACCGGCTTGTGGAGCTCTTGGGAGACCTCTGTGTTCCACTCGGTTTTACCCAGCGGTCAGCCCGGCGTATCTCTGACTCAGAAGCTCCGGTATTGTGCACAGTTAACTCTGGTTGTAGCTAGGTAGCTACGTCCGTTATCTTAGCTCCCACCTTCGCGTTAGCTTTGGGTTAGCTTGTAGCTACATTGCTTCAGTTCGACAGGTGTCGTCATTTGATCCCAGCCTTACAGCCCCACCCACAGCTCCACCTCTTTTCCTTTTTTTTGGAATTGTCTGGACTTGATGGAACCTGTGACACTAGGGTTGTCAACCGTCCCTTGAAAAACGGAATCGTCCCGTATTTAGAAACAAAAGTACACGTCCCGTATTGAGCTCAAAAGGGATGCACTTTTTCCCGTAATATAGTGAGGATCAAAATTAGTCTGTAGTCTATTATTGGAATTAATGCTTTGTTTGAAAGCCAGCCCTTCGCCTGCTCTGTGACCAATGAGCTGACCGCATGCTTGCACACGAATATGACGATACAGATTACCGCTTATTTCATTGGTCGAGGAACGGTCGCTTGGGGAGAAGATACCGGAAGAACACAGACGACAGCAAACAGCATGGCCAACAGGGAAACAAACGTCGACACTGCTGTACAAGTCTCGGACGACAGTACCCCCGAGAAAGAAGAAAAAAAGGCTTCAAATATACAGGGAGGAATGGGAAAAGGAAAATTCCTGGCTGGAAAAAGTGTGCGATAACACCTATAAAGCGCACTGCACTTTGTGCCGGCGTAGTTTTTCCATAGGCCATGGTGGACTGACTGACCTCAAGCAACATGCTTCTGGTAGTAGCCACATGAAAAACATAAAGGACATGAAAGCACGGGGAACCCTCGATCAGTTTGTCATCCACAAGGTCACGGCAGAAGCAGATATGGTACGTAAACACTGCTTTTTTTAACCCTCTGGTTAAGGTGAAGGTATTTATAGGAAAAAAAACACTGTGTTGGGGCTTGTTTATTATTATTTTTATTATTTTTGTTGTCTGTTTTTTTTTCGTTTGTTTTTCTTTTTTGTTTATATTTCAACTTGGGTGTTTAGTTTTGATGTAGCCTAGTCTTGGTTTATATGTTGTTAGGATAATTTAAAACTAAAAGAAAATTAAAATGAATGAGAGGTAAAACTGAGGGGATAGGCTAAGTGTATACTTCTGCCTACTCCTTTTCAAACAACAAAAAAGTTTACGGTAATACGGGCATGT